CCCCACCGTCCAATAAATCCCACACAACGGGAAGTCCTACAGACAGAAGGATTTGCTTTGTTCTGTTGAACAAAAACGGGTTGAAAATGACCCAAATTTTGTGTGACAACACTGTGGAACCAGGCACTCGTCAACTTCTGGCTTCTACGTTCACTTGCCTTGCCTTGGAGGGGAAAACGTCCCTGTTGTGTACAAGTAAAAACTATTTGTGCATAGAAGTAAAACCAGATTCTGTTTGTGCTTGAGGGATGTGGGACTCGCCTTGTGCCACCGGTAAAACTAGGGAGACAATGGCCGCAGTTTGCTGATGTCCAAAACTGTAGCATCCTTGGAAATTGAAAGTTTACATTTTTGTGTGCCTCAGATCTATGTTTTTCAATAAAATCCACACAGAAATGTGCTTTTTGATGGATATAAAAGGTGTTGAGATCAAAATAAAAAACTCTATAACAATTGCACAATTGGAGGAAAAATGTGGGTTTCTTCATGTTTTATTTGTTTTGGACGAGTGCCAGATTCCAGCACGCTGCGACACATTTCCACTTCCATTTTGTCCATGTTGGGGACATTTCCTAAAAGAGATCATTTAAATTTTTACTTTTGCTATTTTTGTCTTTCTCCTATTTTCTTCTATCTTGTCCCAGCTGGTCCACAAGGAATGAATGTATGTGAGAGATTCATCCATCTTCTCTCCGGTGTAGAAGAAGAAAGAGTACCTGACACAATACAGCACAACCAACCCAATCAGGACCGAGTTTCAAAAAAGCATGCAGTGTAAATAAAATAGGCCCTAGAAAAATATTTCAAAAATATCACAGACTTGGCAATATCACTAAAACTGTTAGTCACATGTCGTAGAAACCCCCGACACGGGGCACGAGGCAACATTGACAAAAACAGCCGGCTCCCTCAAACAAGTTGCTACAACAAAAAGCAGAAGAATTTTTTTTCTGCCTTTAGCAATATGAGCTTTTTAGGAGTAGGTCTCTTTGCCACTGGCACCCGCCAACCACCCCAATCTCTTTGCGACTGGCACCATTGTGACAGACAGGCAACAGAGCACCCGCCAACCACCCAGTCTCTTTGCGACTGGCATCATTGTGATTGATGGGGAAAGAGCACCCGTCAACCACCCACAGAGCACTCTCTGTTCTGTCATCTCTCTGTCGACCAATGACCAGAAGACAAAGCCCAGTCTACGACACAAACATGTTTGACGACCAACAGAGAAGAAAAAGGACACAGTACAGGTGTTTACCAACACAAACTGGACCTCTTCTTGCGACAAGGCAGAAAGGCAATGAGCTAACGAAAAGCTGTGGATCGAAAACAAGGAAGATTTCTCCTAGAAAGTTACATGACCCTTCGACATAAATAAACTGTAAGAGTCGACACCAAAACTAGAGTACATCTGGAAACAAAATGTCATTATAAAAACACAGAAAACAAAACAACTCATCACTAGGGCGTCAAGTTTGGGCTTGTAGAAAACACAAAGTCAAGAAGCTCGTGCAGCATGGAATGTCGTCATCTACACAAAAACTGACCAAGAAAACTGGAGGGAACATTCTGAATCACAAAAATGCTAAAACTTTCTCAATGACATAAAAATAAAATCACTGAGTGGACGGAATTAATATAAGTTGTAATAATAAATATTTATATAGATCTATATATATATATATAATATATTATGAACATTAAATACACATTTTCATGGCCATTCTACAATGAACTGTTTACTCTGAAGCAAAAATCACAAGTTGAAGGAATGTACACAGGCGTCCGCAAAGTGTGTCCATTTAGCACATTGAGACGGAGTGTGTTACAAAGTGTGTCCATTTAGCACATTGTGACAAAGTGTGTCCATTTAGCACATTGTGACAAAGTGTGTTCATTTAGCACATTGTGACAAAGTGTGTTCATTTAGCACATTGTGACAAAGTGTGTCCATTTAGCACATTGTGACAAAGTGTGTCCATTTAGCACATTGTGACAAAGTGTGTCCATTTAGCACATTGTGACAAAGTGTGTCCATTTAGCACATTGTGACAAAGTGTGTCCATTTAGCACATTGTGACAAAGTGTGTCCATTTAGCACATTGTGACAAAGTGTGTCCATTTAGCACATTGTGACAAAGTGTGTTCCTTTAGCACATTGTGTAGGAGACAAATGTGTCAACGCTGCTTGGACTCTAGCCTAACACAGAAGAACAGCGCACGTCTCAAGTTGTGTCACCGAGAGGTCCCGGCCACATCAAACACAACTATCAATAGCATCTTTCAACATCACACACTTTAAAAAACCCATCAAATCAGAACAACGGAAACATGAAATTAATTTCTAAAATATTTCCCAACAATATCACGAGAGAACCCAGAATGAGGGGCCGCTTAAAATACAACATTAAACCGACTTGAAAACAAAAGTAATTTAAAGCTATGTTGCTATTTTTTGAAGACTTTTGAAAGAATGACTTTTTATTTTCATGATAAATTGGTCCACCTATGATGCCTGTAATGAGTCAAATTTGTCCAACTATGATGCCTGTAATGAGTCAAATTTGTCCAACTATGATGCCTGTAATGAGTCAAATTGGTCCAATTATGAAGCTTGAAAGAAATGGATAAAAAAAGAAATGGATAAAGAAAGAAATGGATATAGAAAGAAATGGATAAAGAAAGAAATGGATAAAGAAAGAAATGGATAAAGAAAGAAATGGATATAAAGAAAGAAACGGATGCAGATTGCTGAGTAAGCTGGTTCCTCCCGACTCTCGGCCCCTACAAGGTACAGTACAACAACATATTAGACTACCTGACCCCCCATACAAGGTACAGTACAACATATTAGACTACCTGACCCCCCATACAAGGTACAGTACAACATATTAGACTACCTGACCCCCCATACAAGGTACAGTACAACATATTAGACTAGAAAGGTCAAATCTACAATTAGTACGTGGAACGTCAAATTATATGGGCATAAATATATATATATATATATTATTCTAAAACAAAAGAAACAAGAAAAAAAAGGGGAGTGTGTGGTGGTGGGGTTGTGGTTAGCAGGAAAAGAAATAATCAAATGAATCTACTTTGTTATAACAATAGGAAAAAACCAATACGAACAAACAAGAAGAGTTCAACAACCAAAAACTCTGACCGAATGAGAAGGGAACTGTGTCAAGGTCAAATGTCATCAAGGCCAACCGCTGACCTGGTCAGCAACACGAGATCCTACCTGGGAAAGATTGGAGTGGCACCCACCTCTCACATTGGCTCAGCTGGTCGAAGATATGGCTTGTACACAAAAGGCTTCGCATCAAAAAAGACAAAAACATCAGAGCATTGGGAGAAGGCACCAGCTTTCCATCATTATGTCAAATATCTACGGGGAAAAACAGAAGGTGGAAGAAGAACTTCCAAGAAATATGCTGACACTGACAAGAGCGGAAAGCTAAGGATGGGTGTGAGTGAGAGAGAGGGGTGTGAGTGAGAGAGAGGGGTGTGGGTGGGTACTTATTCCTGTCCCCCCCCCCTCCCACACAACCGGCCCCGTCAAACATTCAGCTGGCAGCGACGTTGGCCACGCTGTAGCACATGTTTGCTTCCTACGGAGGATGTGGGTAGGCAAAAACTCCACCAAAATATTTGTCGGACGTTGGCGCTAAATCATTGCCCCCTCCACAAAATGCCAACCGAACCATACAGACCGTAGAGGAACCTGTAGCAATCATACCGACAGCTGTAGCAATCATACCGACAGCTGTAGCAATCATACAGACCGTAGAGGAACCTGTAGCAATCATACCGACAGCTGTAGCAATCATACCGACAGCTGTAGCAATCATACAGACCCTAGAGGAAACCTGTGACAATCATACAGACAGCTGTAGCAATCATACAGACCCTAGAGGAAACCTGTGACAATCATACAGACAGCTGTAGCAATCATACAGACCCTAGAGGAAACCTGTGACAATC